GACAGCAGGTGACCCTGCATCCAGCAACAAGGACATAGTGACTGTCTGCTCTCCTATATAAACATTTAAAGCCTTCACATACCAACTGGTTTTATAATGTCCAGAACAATGTTGCTTATTTTTGGACTCTAGAATCTTCTAGATTCTAGAGTCTGGTTTCTGGTTTTCCTGAATATACTATGGGTCTGATCTCAAATGGTGGGAAATGCTCCCTGTGGTCACCTTGGGGAGTGAGTTTCATACTATTCATATCCAACGGGTCTCAAAGGGTGCAGCTTATTTTTATTTTCCGTTTGAATCTTACCTTGAGTAATAAATCCCTCTTCCTTTGGCCATCTTGGCTCCGAAAGGGTCTCAGGATTTTCCACATGAGGATGTTCTGAGATCTTTAGAGACAGGAATATTCTTCACCTCAAAATCAATACTGGAAGTACTACTCATGCACATAGGACATATTTTAGTAGAGACCCTTAACTCTCCTGCCTAGTGTTGAAATTCTTTATTCCGTTTTGTTAAATATTTGGACAGTGCCAAAAAAAACAAACAAACAAAAAAATCCATTTTATTATTCTCTAACACAGTGTTTCTCAACCCTGGTCCTCACCGCACCCCCCCTATCCTGCATGTTTTACGTTTTTTTCCCTTCTGCTACACACCTGAATTATATCTCTGTGTGATTAACAAGCTTCTGCAGTACTTGATGGTCATGCAGTCATTTGAATCAGCTGTTCTGGAAAAGAGGCGCATCTAAAACATGCAGAGCAAGGGGGGCGGTGAGGACCAGGGTTGAGAAACACTGCTCTAACAGCTTCCGGCTCTTCTAAGATGCACCGTAAGTCAACCTGGAAAGCTGACCCAGAGGTTATATTTGCTGGAAAATATAGAAGACCTGGGGGGGAAAACTGGACACTAGAATAATTTAGTTTTAACACACCTGCTTGAGGTTGAATAGAAATGGATTGGTGGACAAGGCCAAGTCCTGGACGTCTCAGGAGGACAGTGGTGAGTGAATGCATACGCTCCAGAGTTACCTTAATAACCAAGAATTTCAGGCAAAAAAAGTGCCTAAAGTGATTCAGACATATGAACCAGTTTAGAGAAAAGTTATTGACGTAAATGTTATTTTCTTTCCCAGTTTGTTTATTTTGGGTGACTGTTTCTTTGACGTGATTGGTCTCAGATACATCTTTTTGTTGGGAAGAAAAAAAATCTTGTTAAACAGACTGGCCTCCCATGGGTCACTCCCAACCCCTGAGCATCTGTTTTAAACACTGATTAAAAACGTAGAGAAGTATAATCTCAATTGTTATTGGTATGAACACAAAACATAATACATTTTCAAAATCAAAAAGTAACTTATCAGCACTTCTGACATCAACTCATCCCTTTTAAATTTACTTAGGTACGTTTTTTTTTTATTTTAGATTCTTGTTTTTGTATTTACTAATCTAGTCAAGAATGTATTATCTTTTAAAGGAAACACAGTTGATGTTTGAAAAAATAATCAGGTTAATGAAAGGTAAACATGCTTACAGTGCAGGATATTATTTCTTTCAGCAATGCTCATTAAAGAGTTACACTGGGAATATAACAAGGTTATATCAGCTGGTTAATTAGTCAAATTTCCTCCCTGAGTAAATTCTGCAGTTGCCTGCGTTACAGACATGACTGTCTTTGTTGGCAGACAGGGAGAAAAGCTGCTGTGATCTTCTGCTGGGAGTGCAGTGTTTGTCTCACTAACAGTAACATAAATCGGATTAACATAGGTGAATAGACTTTGTTTTTTTTTTCTCTTTTTACATTCTTTAGGTGCCACTATTTAATTTTGACTTGGTTTTGTCCTGTAAATTACACAGAGCCCTAAGCATTCCAGGAAAATGCTTGAAAATGCTTGAAAATTTTCATAGAAATGTAAATAACTGCATTTGTAGGCCTCCAACCAAAAACATGCTCCTTGCTTCCCCCTAAACACAAAATTGCACATCTACTAAAACACAATCTAATATGGAGCTCTGCACCTTCCATGTCACCCCTTTTAAATCCAAGCTGTCTGTTGTCATAGAGCTCATCACGAGGTGTTGTCCTGCCTCCTGTTCATTTCCCCAGCTCCTTTCTTCTCGAGCAAAGTTGGATGGGCTTCACCCACTGTTCAAAAAATGATAAAAACACCTACTCAGCTTGTATCATCTTGAAGCGTCCTGTGGACATAAGCACTCCTTTGTATGATCGATACTTAAAAGCATTTAATTTCCATTTGTAAATTTGATCTCATAATTTAAGTCAATCATTTTGGGTTTCCTCTCGCTAACATTTCACAATAATTTGATGAAATTTTAGCCTGCTGACAATTATTCCACTAAAATGCCGTGACTCTGATTTCACTGGACGTTCCCATGTAGTTTGTATGTGGAGACTGACGGTGTGACTGGACAAACCCTCCCCTCCCCCTAAGCTCCCCGCTGTCTGATCGGGACATTTGCAGCGGTCCTCCTGAGCTTCGCGTTAGGACCACAGGAAGGTTAAAAAAATATATATGTCATGGATTCTTGACTTTGACTAAATTTAGTAGTATTATTTCTCTCAACTTTCTCATACCCTCACTGCGATGTAGAGCAGGGGGGGTAACCATTTACAGCAAAAAGGCTAACTAAGTAAGAGTATACTCTTACCGAGGGATCTAATGGTGGATATGGAAACTTTGAAGACTTTTGTTGTTTTTTTTACAATGTTTTTCTCCTCACTAAATCATAAATCACTAAATCAACATAATTTGCAATAGTTCCCTTTTTTCAGCCTACCCTTATGTATTGAAGCCCAGCTGATATTAGCTGCTTAATTAGCTGGGTTGTCTTGTCAGGTAGCCAGTCAGCACTCAGCTAAATTTAAGTTGTCTTCCATCAAGCTGACTGGCAATATGAGGCAACATTTGGGGAATGGGCAGCACTCTGTCACTCTTTACTCCATGTAGCTGCAGACTTTAATACAAGAACACCAGCAATTTGTCTGTCATCTTGGTAAAGCTTTTTAAAACCCTTTTGCCCTTAATTATAAATCAGTCTCTAGTTTGGGTTTAGCAGCTCCACAACGGACAAGAATTTGTACAGGCACGACAAAAACCTGATATATTTAAATACCAATCCTTCAAATATAGATGCAGCAAGGTATGCGTAGATGTTGCAGGAGCAGTTGAAGGCACCAACATTGTTTGCTGGTAACAACTTACGCAAAACTAGGACAAAACACGACACCAAATATTTAGGTAAACTCATCCGTTTTGACAGATGTTTAAACTCTGACATCAAGATCAAATTGGAAATTATGAAGCTGAATCAAAATCCCACCTGGCATCAAATGTTTGCCCTCAAAAATGGGTTTCTGGATCTAATAATGTCAATCGCTGTTTCAATTTCTTTGTGTGCCACAGTCAGAATCTAGTCAGACTGCTTATATTTACTAAGTGGGATATAATGGATTTTATAATACAAACAAGGTGAAGAGCAGAAACAAATTACTCCACTGGCCAGTCAAGACGCTGCTTGCTGTTCTCTTTTTGGTAATGCATTTATTGTCACAACAGATTACATTTACATGGTGTAGAGATGGGTGACAAACAGAAATGAAAGGGTTCACATCTCTATTGTGTTTTGTGTCTTTTTTTTTTTTTTTTTTTACTTAAATAAAACTGCATTCACAGAGCACACACTGGGTGCAGGTGATGGCCCCTAGCCACAGGAGCACCATATAAATTCATTTATTTATTTTTTTCTCTGCATACGTTTGTGGTCTTGTGGATTTGCATGTGCATTTTCATGGTGGGCATACAGTAGAGGAACCTTTTTCTTTAGGTTTAGGAGAATGAAGGTAATTTTTTCATGTATGGCACATATTTGATTTGTTTTTGTGCCATATAAAGAACGGCAAACACTTTTTGTGCTGTGGTGTTTGTTTGTTTTTTTATTTTGGCCACAAATTCTTCACATCTACCAAATAAAAGCCTGGATTTGGAATCGTACAATTTCCTGAGCAGTTTGTCAAGTTTAAACAGAAGCGATTCAACATTCTTGAAATCTTAAAACCATTTTTCTGTAATATAAAAAATGTACAATCTTAAGCCTTTAAATGCACTAAAAACTACTTTGTTTTCCTAACTCATCCATTGAACAAGCTAAAGAAAAGAAATACAATCTTTAATTTGTATTTTTCTTACACACAGGGCTATAGACTTTCGGTTGGGGGCTGGACGCTCTGGTGCCAGTGTGAATTTATTCATGGACAATTAAGGATGAGTTATGCAGAAAGCATTTCTATTTTATCTTTTCTCTTTTTTGTGTGTATGTGTTCACAAGTCTTCTCGTCAATACTCTCACCAAACTCATATTTATCATTCCCCTTCAAGAAAACATGCAAAAAACAAACCAATCTTTAATCCCATCTTCTTTCACCAATCTCTCATCTCCCATTAGTATTTATCTACAAACTTTGTGCTCGCATTTCTTTCTTTCATTTACATACACATCATTAATACAATCTCTTCATTCTACATGAAATGGTTTTTGCTTTTTTGGTCTGTGGGGCACGTTTTATACCATTTGGTGGGCAGTTGAGGGCTAATGAAGGGTTTCGACTGTTTGATCTTGGTTCATTTTGTTGTTCTTATGTAAATCTTTTGTGACAACAGCAAGACTACGCCCTTTTCTTGTCCTTGAAGGCTACTGTTGCTCATCCAAGTCAACAAGTTTAGACTAGTACAGATGAAAAGAAAATAATTAATACCAATGAGTTCCTCCATAAGCAGTCTGAGAGTAGAAATGTGATATTTATTTATTTTTTTCTCCCACCTGGGTCATCCTCTGTGTCAAGTGAAAGTTTATGCAATCCATCAGCAGAAGATATCCACATCCAGGAGGCGTTTTCACTCGGACAAAGCTCCGCTTGACCGTCAAAGCTCAAACAGTTCTGTGGCCTCTCCGGTCCCTTCACACATAAACAGGGCTAGTTTTTTTTTGTTTGTTGTTTTTGTTGTGTTTTTTTTTTTTTTTATATTATCAGGCGCTCTTTCCTGCATCCGCCGTCGTAGTAAGTATACTGTATGTACATCATCTCTTCCAATGTCTGGTACTGATTAAGTGTTTTTGTGGTGACTGTGAGAGTGGCATCCAGGCTGAGGTGGGGTGCAATGCGGTGAGTAGCGACGGTCATTGCTGGGGCAGTTCTGACGGCTGTTTCTTGGGTTTCAGAGTGTCTATGAGAGACTGGACGCTGCGTTTAACACTGGTGGTCACTCGGCGCGTTACTGAGTCTGAAGAGGGAGATGAGGAAGAGCCAGCACGCTGAGAGGGCGGCCGTGCCACCAGACACTTCTGGTACCGGAGCTGAGGAAGAGGAAGAGGAAGAGGGAGGGTGTGAGTGAGTAAGAGCGGTTAATGAGAATTCAGCTGAAGACCTTATTTACTTTCTTTTAATTATTTCTCATGTGGTCTATTATCAGTAAAGAAGAACATTTTTGCCCCCACATTCAGTTTGTTTAAGGGAAAAGGCTCAGTTTTCCTCATGTTCAATTTTTTTTTTTACTATAAGGATCAGATTTTCTAGAAATAAGGTGTTTAAAAAAAGCGGAGGAAGTTTCAGACTGATCATGTTTATATATACTGAGGCTGAGAACAGTGGTACCTGATTCACCACCTTAGTATTTTAAGAAACAGCACTAATTATAAAAAAATATATATATATATAAAATATTTCTCAAGATAATGAGATGATTCATGTGGTCACAACAAAACAGATATGAGAATTTTACTTATTTCCAGATGACTGGATAATGAAGCTGTTAAGAATCTCATAATAATGAGACAAGGAAACTTAAAACAAACAAAAAACAAACAAGCTCACATTGTCTCGATAGGGTGAGGTAATTAAACTTGTGAAGTCCAATTTAGTTCAAAGTTATGTTATCTCACTAGACTAGAACTGATATCATGACAAAACAAACCTGAGGTACAAGATACTGTGTAATGAGTACAAAGGAAATTTAAGGCTTTCTTATCATGATAAAAGAAAGTAAAAAAAATCAGATCTTATTAATATTATTATAACAAAGCCAGTGCAAGGTTCAGTTATCTTGATATACAAGGATGACAAAATCGTATTTATAATAAAACAAGCTGGAGGTCTTGATCGAAATCTTGTTTGACATTTTCTTAAGCAGTTTCGTTTCTATTATGGTTGTCTGTGGTTCAGGTGATAAAGTGGGAGCTTCATTGCTTTAAATGCTAAGAACACACTGATTCTACAAGCATTCTAAATATGCATGTAAATTAAAATTCAACATTTATCCTTTTTTGTCAAAAATTCAAAATGAAATACAATATTTCAAAATTGGAGTCTGGAAAAGGGTCAGGAACTCTGACAGACGACACAGAAGAAGGCTGCAGTTCAACACGTTTAGTTTCAGGACTTACCACACAAGCCGCCTGCACCGCCTCCGACACGCTGCCTGCATTCGGGTCACACCAGAAGACGTGACACTGGAAGTGCTGGTTCCCAGTGTCCATGATGAAGGCAAATGTATGCACGTCCCGTCCCACGCCCATGAAGGACAAAAACCGCACACGGCACTCCACCATCACCTCCTCCTCTTCCTCCTGTGCAGCCATCAAAGAGGAGAGTCAAAGCTCTAATCTGCCTCTCTTTTTAATTGATAAGCCTATTCTCATCTTTTATTTATTTTAAAACCCCTGGTTAGTCACAAACCCCCCCCCTGCCTTCTCTTTGATGACAGCCACGGTGGTGTCCGCAATGCTTAGTATGACAGGGGTCCATTCTTCTTTGCCTGTGGATGACAGGAGGTTTTCTATGGCCCCGTTAATAATGTCCATACCTGGGGACGAAACACACGGTATCCTCAAAACACTACACATCTACTAAAAAGTATATATATATATATTTTTTTTGTTTTTTTTTTTTGATGAGAGAGGAATTCAGTGTGATTCCAGCTTTACCTATTGGGCGAGACACATATGTCACACCAAGATAAAACACATGGAACTTCTGCACCAGTTCAGTCTTTGGCATGGGGAACTCTACAGAGAGAAAACACACATTCAGACATCCACAGCAAGCCTAATCAGAGGACAAGATCTGATTTTTCAAAAGAGGAGTGCACACACGATAATTGGCTTAAAGCTGAGAAATAAACAAACACTGAATATTTTAATATTTTTGCTCTGCTGTTGACATGATTAGAGCATAAAAAAAGATGGAGGCGCATACTGGATTTTGAAGGACTGACTGTGTGAAAGCTCTGCTGGCACCTGTTTATACTTTGGCCTGTGGGCAGAGATGACTGCATCACAAAATAAGTGATCAAAGCAACCATTTGCACTTCAATCAGCGTACCACGTTAAAGATCTTCGACTCCCAGGAAGCAAATCGTTGACACAATAGAGTGTTCGCTCAACAGGGCTGGGTTGATTTCTGACACGGCAAAATGACAAACAATACGAGCACCGAAATAATCAAAAACTAACAAAAGGGTGTGTAAAAATAAATAAAATCAATAAATAAAGGATTTTAGAATCATAAATGGCAAAGTTATTATCTGTAGAAAACAGATATTTAAACTGTTGCTCAAAAAACATAAAAACTTAGCGTAAACTAGCTTGGAAGATGGACTCCGTTTTAAGGAACATGCAAAATGGAGATCAGGAGAGTGAGGTAATTTCTGGGATTTGATAATTAATATGTTTTATTGCTAGACTAACCATTGTTAGCTGTATAATCCTGGTTTTACAGCTTACAGTTTGTGGGTGACCTTTCTATTGACATGGGGTCTTTGTTATGGCCGCAGACTTTGCTGCTGTTCTTAACCCATTTTGTAATTAATTTGATGGCATGCTTCTTACCACTGTCCATTGGAAAACCCATTTGTGTCCAGGGTTTTATTTCCTGGCTGATGTCTTGAGCTTCAGTATTTTTGCAGAAACTTATTTTTTCATGATGACATCTATTTTAGTCCCCTCACCCTGATGTTGTACGTTAGGACAGTGTACAGACCTTCAGGCTTCTTTTTGACATCATCGTCTGGGTTTACTACATTGTTTAATGGCATAGTTTTCTATTCTACAATGCCATTCTGTCAAGAGGATGGAGCTCGTAAAGTTTGGTATTTACTGAGGTGTTATTTGTTGGGCTTTATAAGAACCAGTGCTTCAGAAGCAATGATATGGTTCATCCATTATGAGCTCAATATTGTTCACTGAATTTTAACAAATGACAAATCTTTGAGTTCAGAGATGTGAAGCTTTGCAGACGCAGGGGATCATTGGGTTATATTTGATCTTGGGGTCGAGGTGGAAGCTGTGGAGCACCAGGCATTTCCCTAAAGGAACTGTTATTGGATTTTAATGAGGTTGACTGTCTCCATAAGTGAGCTGCTGTTATGGTTCTTTTATATTCTGATTCCCTCTGTGGCTTGCCCTCAACACTCTGCTTACATGCACACCAGCTGAGGTTATCGCAGAGGATTGGTTGTGCTGGACCTTTTCCTCTTTTTCTCCAATAATTACTTAGGACTGAGACAAGCAAGCAGTGGGAATAAGCAAACAAGGTTATGAACAGAACTATCTATAGACAACTGTCCTTTGTTTACACAATTCTTCTTTGCTGCTCCTGAGACAACAGGAGCATCCTTTCCCAAAAAAATAAGAGCCTAGACATGTTGGAAAAACTCTGTAATGGGAAAACAAAAGACTACAATGTGGAGATTTTCCATGGCTGACAAATGATATTTTTACACGAGGGAACTACAAAGAAAATGAAAAGAAAATTAGTCTGCGCGTGATATGTTGAATTCCTTATGTTGTGGGGGTATAAATCTTTTCAAACATTCACATTTAGGATTTTCTCTTTCTTCAGGATTGATGATTATAATTTAAAGCCTTTTGGATTAAAATAAGCAAGGGCAGATAAATAAATGCTAAGGAAACTAATTATTCTGGAAATGTTATCAAAGTATCCTCTGAAGTAATGGAAATGTGTGTGTGTGTGTGTGTGTGTGTTTACCTTGTAGGGGCACATCAGAGCCATTCTGAGAGGAGCTGCCAGCCGCAGCTTTAGCACTTTTTCTTTCAGCCATAATCTGAAAAGAAATTTATATGTGAAAAAGGACATGAAGTAAGAAACAGCAAACCAAAACAGAAGTAAACAAAAGAAAGAAAGGCCTGGGGGAAATTATTAAAAATTAAAAATGGAAGAATATGATGACCAGAATATGAATTCCAAGAGAGTAGGGACGGGCAAAACTTTCAGCAGATAACAAGAAGGCTAATGTTGAACCGCAAAGTTGCTCTGTTTTATCCCTAAGATCTACCAGGAAACCAAAAGACAAAACTTGGACACAATCTTATATCTGCAAAATGTTTTATACAAGCTTTCAGTCACAAAACTCACCAAGCCAAAGTTATTATTTTTTTAAGAAAAATCTGGCATAGAACATGCCAGATTTGGAAAAAGGTTTTCAGTTTTTCAGAAATCTAAGAAGACATTCTCTAAAAATAAACATTTTGGTTTTAGAAAAGAAACGGCCTTAATTTCCCACAAAGGGGGAAATTCAGATTTTAGTAATGTTAGCCACCATCATCACTATTCGCTAATATAAAATGCTAAAGGTGGTTTAAAACCTTTTATCATAGCTGAAACACAAAAATAGAACAGAAATTTACATAAGGGTACTTAGATTGTTTGTTCAATTGTGCAAAAGTGCAACAAATTCAACAAATTTGAGCAGAGTTTCCTATAAATTTAGAGTTTTATACAAATTATGTGCCTCTCTGAATTGTGTTTTATTAATCAGAAATGTTGGTTCAAAGTGTAAGTATGGTAATTTGGTGCTTGCTGAATATAAATGGTTTGAGTTATTTTCATGCTGACTACAAGAAAATACGTAAATATATCTCCTTCATTCGTACAGATAAAATGGATACTGCCCTCTTTCCGGTTTTGGGGCCACATCTCCCTTTCTTGGAGATGTGCGCTCTTTAAAGAGAGTTGAATATTCTGCAAGGCCTCTGCACCGGGCCAGTGCGCTCTCTACAGACCCTTGATAAATTGCAGGCGTCATTAATCAAAGTCGACAGTCTGTCTGCAACTCTGCTAACAGGGGAGCCTAAAAGACACACATTCACTCTAAGGCACAAAACGGAGTGCAGTTCAATGTGCTGCTCAGCCGCGAAACTCAGGTCACCAAGTTTGTCCCCTGCAGTAAAGAGAAAACCACCAGTGTGTTTAAAATAGGTAGTTTGAGGGTATGACTTGTGGTACCGTGTAATGCACAGAGATAAAGACACTTTCTTTGCTTTGGGATTGGAAATCTAAAAGCGTGTAAAAGAATGAAAAACTTATTTTTTTCTCTAAATGGGTCATCATTTCTCTTAGGAGGAACATCTGTCATTCCACAAATTCATCCTTTACAAGGGCAGCACTGACCAGAGGACGGGCTAGTTTTCATAGATGCTCGTATGAAACCACACACTTTCGCCCATATGAGCTACAATGTTTTCCTGGGTGAAATGTTGTCTTGGGCTGGGATGATTTGTAGACCCATTGCTGGCTCTTTTCACACATAATATGTATGTGCAGGTCTTACAGAATCCCATTTCGGAGTTTGCTCATGTAAAAAGGATCATCATTGCTTCACAGACTGAAGCAATGACTCAGAGAAGATTTTAATAACAGGCATTAGGATTAAGGTAGCATTCACAGCTTTCTGTTTGTGAGATGAGAAATTGGCCTTCGTTCACGTGAGATCGCTCATACTGGCAGACGGCTTTTTAATGGTTGCGCATATCTGTAGGTGCTACGCAACAGCTGGAAAGGTTGTGATATCATCATGGTTTGATTGCGCATTCTAAATGGTTTAAGACCTTCTTGTTTTTCAGCCCAATGTAAAGGTAAAATGTCATTCTTGTTTCGTTAAATGGCGCTGATATCTGCTGCAGAGTCACACATCAAAGTATCTCTAATAAGAAAGCCACATTTACTTTCTGCAGCATTTCTATCTTTCTTTGAGAAACTGCAAAACCAACATGCACATTATTCACAAAGCGGTTTTAGGAGAATAAACTAGACTGCACACAGTAGATAAAGGGTTACATACTAGAAACAAACCTTAAGCACAACACAGTAATCACAGTAAGTAAACACAGTAAGTGAACAGAGACAAGTTATCTTCATGAAAATGAAGACGGTGGACGATCAAAGATCTCTTTGTGCCGCTCACACAAGGGAAAGCTTGTTTAACTCTTTTAGCTTTTGTTCTTACACATTTACCATTATGTAAATGTGTAAGGCTACAGCAGTTATAAAAACCACCACCATGAAAAACTGTTCTCCTCTCAGGATAAAATGCACCGATTCAAAAACGGATTACTCACTTCAGTGTGTGAGATGAGCTAATCTCTGTGAATGCAGTAGCGGTAAAGATCATTACCTTGGAGCAGATTTCGTGGAGACTTGTGGCGATGGCTGCGGCAGGAGTATCACATCGAAACACGTGGCACTTCAACACCCGTGTGTTTTTGTCTCTGGCCACATAGGCAAAATCCCTGAAGCATGGTTGGAAGACACAAGAACGATCACGGGTGAATTTTTAACGCAGATGTGACAGAAAATCATTATCAGGATCAATTTTCCAAATGCACCTACACAGTGGGCCAACCAAACACATTTCTTCAGCAAAAGGCCAAGAAGAAAAATCTCTTTAATAAAGGTTGTTCAGTGATTAATATCAATAAGCTGGCCTTGCTTAGTAAATGACATTTAATCACACTTTGATTAATCGTCTATAAACATTTATTTTGAGTTACTTTACATTCTCCAAGCACCCTCAACAGTTTTGAGTTATTATTTAATATTCTATTGACAAGAACAATCACCTAAAACATATATTGTTATATAATAAGGAGAAGAATTGTGCGGGCTAAATGAAACGCAGCATTCATTGCCTCTTAAATAAAGTATTTTCTAAAGGGTTGTTCAAGTTGTCATCACAAATATGTGTTGAGTTTATGTATGTTTTGATAAAAACTTTAACGCTTTTCTGCTGTTAGTTATATCTGGCACAAAAAAAAAAGAAGTTTGTGTGTCTTTGACTATTTATTCCTAAACTATATCTACAGGTATTACCACTATCCACTGAATCTCATCTCAACATTGCTCTGCACTGAGATTGCCTTCAGTGTTGCTTCCCCACACCGTCCCATTGGTTTCACCAAAAGCTGCGTGACATTGGTAGAAAAGATTTGTTTTTCAACGGGCACAAGTCAAACCAGCAACCTTGCTGCTCAACCAACAAATGCATTTTTCTTGCAAAAGCTTGTTAATAATATAATATTGTCAAAAATGATTGTTACAAAAAAATAAATCAACCAAACATACATTTAATTACTTCTTGTTTATTTAATCTTTAAGGGTAGTTATTAAGGAGGAAGCACATTTTCTTATGAATTTATTTATATACAGCACCCTCCAGAGTTTTTGGCACCTCTGAAAAAAATGTGTAGACAAGTCATTGTATAAATAAGCAAATAAATATCAGATGGCTGGAGGATAATCTCGTACTGAAAAAATATATACTTTTCTATTATGTCACCTTGACTTTGTTTTACTTTACTTTTTAAAAATGGATTGGATTGTCTAGCAACTTTTTATTCAGTATTTTATCTTTCTGTTTCCCCGAGGTAGAGATATGATCTAACACCGATGCTCCTCGTCACTCTGCAAAATGGGAAAGAAAAGAGAAGGTGCCATTCAAGGGTCATAGATATATTTTAAACTGATCAAGAAATGGTGTCAAGAAAATAATTAACTGGCTTCAAGCACCTTTATCAATGGTCAAGGTGATAATTTTAAAATAAAACTGAAAATGTTGCTAAAAGAAAGATGTTTTTTGTTTTCCAAGTGAGGGGGATGGCAGGAGATGTCAAAAAAAATCTCCATAGCTCACACTTGGGGAAGAGTCAAAGTCTTTATAACAAAGGGACTTTGAGCCACATCTCTACCAGGGGGGAAAATAAGGATACTGCATATTATTGTTTCATTCAATTGTGCAACTTTTGTTGTAAGATATTTGCTATTTTCATTAGACAATCCCTTAAAAGCTTGTTTTAGCCCTTTGAAGTAGTTTTTTTTTATTTCCTTGAATTTAAGCCTAAACCAACTAAAAATAAGGTTTTTTTAAAAACCAATTATAAAAGAATCCATGTCTCTTGATGTAGGCTTCTGGTTTACAAACCACTTGTTCATCAATTATTCTTCCGTAGATTTCTCGATAAACTCGTGTCCCCGTGATTATACGTGTACTGTTCCCATCTACGTGCTGTCAGAACGCTGGCACATTTTACTTTTCTCACCAGCGGTTCCACGCTGCGCGGTGACATTTGCTTTGACAGTGAAAGCAGGCGACTTATTCGAAAACATCAAAAGAGTTTGTCCTTGGATCTGTCTTCTGTTTTGATACGAGGACCTCCCCAACTAGTCCTCCTGCATCTGTTTGATTCATAAATGCTTTAGCAATAGTTTCACCCATTGAAAAACAAAAACAAGCTGCTGCACTTTGCATCATGGTGAGTTTACGTCTCTTCTAGACATTTCTTGGTTAAGGTTTGCTGCAATTGACACCGTTGTTCATGGGGAAATATTGTTTTGTTTGTGTCGTCTCATGGAGGCTATAGAAGAAGTCAAACTTGCTTGATTTAAGACAAGCATGATTTTTAGTCTGTTTTTCTAAACCAAAAATCACAGTTTCCATCATTCTGACAATCCAAGCCCACATGCATGCGTGTACAAAGGTGTGTATGAATGAGCCAAAGGAGACTGCATGCCAGGAGCATCGCAGCAGTGCCACATGGCTTAGAAAATAATAATAATAATAAAAAAAAGTGATGAGATGAGACTTCAGGGAAGAAACTCCTCTGAGAAAGAAACTTTGTGCTGAGAGTGGGTGGCAGATGAAAAACAGCAACACCTGGGAGGTAGGACACACACACACACACACACGCAGACAGGCAGAAGATGAAAGATACACACATTTCTTTCTCATTAACAGGTGAGACAAGCTGCAAAACAAAACAAAGAAACAAAAAAGACAAGTAGGTGGATGTGCTGCCAGCTTCGGACGGAAATGACAATGAGTAATTAAGCAGGAGGGCGTCAGGACATGAAAGGAGGCCAACTGGATGGCTGTGGGTCTCCAGATGCACACAAACATCTCCGCTCGCGCGCCAATGAAACCACGGACACAAACAGAAATATGGCATCTACAGCTGGCATTTATCACAGCGGGCTCTTTGTGTTTATGAGTCCATTACCCAGCCTGTCTCCGCTGCTTAATTGTGTGCTCACACACTTTGGGTCGATAATGCTCTCCGCCTGTGGCCTGGGAGGAAAGCGATAGGACGCGTCCCTCCTTCAGGGACGTTTGAGGGGTGCGTTGTCGAAAGCAGTATGAACAGCCTTGCCTCTGATGCCACAAATGATTCTTTTATGACTCCTGCGCCCTTTCTGAGGGATCGCAAAGCAACGAAACAGCATGCAACTCTTAATAGGCGGCAGCCTTCAGTCGGTGTGACTTGCAGGTGATTTACCGCCTACGGTAGCTGCTGCAGTCCACATAACTTGGGGCAAAAGTAAAGACACTGATTTAACTCCCAAAGTGACAAGCAATGGTTCCACAGCTGGGCGGCAGCACTCATATAAAGAATGTAAGAGGAGATACGTAGATCACGTCTTTAGTAAACCAATGAAAGATGTTACCTTTCTCTGTGTCCCAGGAAGCGTGGGGAAGAGGCGGAGATTTGGGGCAAGGAAAGAGAAGGTAAAGGGTTAGAGAAACATTAATGCAACATCCTGAGTCAGAAATCATCCTGTCAGTATCACTCAGCTCTACATACTTTTTATTTCAGTGGATCGGTATTATTACACAGAACACCTTTCCTGTGCGATGTGCCGTCACACCACACCGCTACACAAATGCGCACAAGATCGGCTTGTTTCAACTTGGCTTCATCTCTTTCATCCACTCTGCTTTCAGTCTCTAATCGTCCCTCTGCTTTCATCCTCCCCCTGCGTCTCTCAATCCTCTGCACACTTTTTTTTTTCTTTTCAGAGCAGGAGAAGCTCCAGACAGAAAGGAGATCCAACACGAGATGATTGATATTAATGGCATAATGCGCCACAGTGCACCACGTCTTCTAGTCTGTGATAGTCTATTATCGGAAACACAGCAAAAGGTGCGGCAGAAACCTTTTCCAGGAACCATGTAGGTTTTCTGGGGATTTTCTTTTTCAGAAAACAGCACCGGCAAGGAGAAACTACATTTTGGAAGGGATCTTGAAATATAATTGGAGCTTTGAGATTGGAGGGCTGATCATTTTTAGATGGTGGAATAATCCAAGCATTTTGTTTCAGACACCCCCCCGGTTTCAACTCCTATATTGTTCAAATTATTTGTTAATTTTAAATCATATCACAAAAGTTAATGGGTGTTTGTTGTGCGCAAATACATCATGGAAACCAAATATTAGTGTATCAGATCACATCAAATACATTGAAGGCTGCACAGATCATATCAATGTATCAGATGCATTGATATGATCTGTGCAGCTTTATTGGAAAAAAAAAAAAAAAAAAAAAAAAAAAAGCCATATTTGGGGATTTATACCAGGACGTTCATGATAGTTTACATCTATGTTCAGAGAAACCAACTTTTCCTCACAACTCCACAGGATTAGGGATTATTTACATATTTATCTGTAAATGAAGTAGACGCAAAAATATGTAGATGTTTACAAGGTTTCTCAGACACCAAAGTGAATTTCTTCCAGCTTCAGATCGTAGCTGCTTTGAAATAATCACAAATTGCGCTTAGTGAATTTGTAATCCTCGTTCTGATGCGTTCTCCTTCCCGCTCAGTTCAAAGGTGAGTAAACACAGAAGTAAATGCTGGCATATATAATTCATAGGCAGTTCTGGTTACACAGTTCCACATGGTGTGGAGTGACGATACAGAAGTTATAAAGTCTAACTGCTGTGACATAATCATTGGGTTGTTTTATGGCCGGAAATTATCGTTGCGACCAGAACTAATTTTCTGACTCACACGCTTTGGAGTTAAGATTTGGGAAGTTAATTTGAAATCTGTTCTGGATACACACTGTCACAGTTTTAAGGGACTTTAATCAACTTTTTCCTCATGACTGCCATTAAAACAACCCGAGGTGAACGCTGCATTCATTTCATTTCACATTCTGGACTCTGCTGTTGAGATTTACATCAATCTGCATTCCCTAGTAATTGACACTAGAGCAGCAACTCACCCGAAGTAATTAACTGCACCATAAGCAGATGTAATTAATATAAACACCGTAGATTTGCAGTGCGAAACAGAAAGCCCATGTTGCGTAGAGAAAGCAGGCCTAATTCTGACACATTCCTGCCTTTGATGATCCACTAAGCAGAAACAGCAGGCACATTCTTTATAGCAAGAATCCAATCTTTAGAGTGTCAAAAGTGCTGCTTCAACAGGGAGTCCCCTGCATCCGCTGTATCCACACACACGAGAAAAACCTATGGAGGCTACATCGGCATTTACAGCTCAAAACGTCCACACAAGTTTCTCTCTGTGATTAAAGTTTGAATCAGGGACTGTGACACTCCGTTCGGTTTTACGTTCTGAGTCCATGGTCTTATTCACTCCCTGGTACTTTTGGTTAAATCAAATACAACTCTGAATACTTTAAATCCTATTTCCCCATTTCCCTTAAGACATCCACATTTCTCCCTCTCCAATACGTTTGAAATTTCTTGTTCCTGAGAAAAAGAACCAGATCAAATTCAGAGCAGCTCTCTACCTTTCAAACAACCAGAACTCAACCTTATTTGACTTTTGCAGCAAGACTGAGGCAACGTTAAACGCACCTCAACATAAATCTTTTTGTATGATTTTGCCAACACTCGGCTAGAAGTGCACTCACTTACCCTGGTCAGGCTTATTTTTACGTCCAAGTTACTAAGCCATCATTCTGTGGCCTCAGGCCTGTGATCGCTCATTGAAAATGCCACTACAGCCAGCCAGAGTAATCCAGCACAGTGAGGTGATGATGAAGAGCAGCAGCAGGAAACAGTACTGACATTTACAAGGTAACTGTGTGGAAATTCAAAGCCCAGGAAGGTAAAATTGCACATGATGTCAAAAGTATCCTCAAAGGTGAAAAAAAACAAACAACTAATCTGATATATTAGATTTGAATAATTTTCTAGAACCTGGTAAAGATCATTGAGACATTAAGACAGATTGAGGAACCCACAGGAGCACACACTGCAACACTCTTTAAACTTGACATTTCAATCTACAGTCTATTTGGGGTCTAATTTTAAAATCACAGTTGATTTCATTATACCTTTTAAAGTTTTCTATTGTGTTTTTAACTATGCATGATATATATTTATTACAAGTTATCTTAAGTTAATGAATATTCCTGAAGTTTGTGTATTTCCCCTCTGGGAATGAATGAAGGGATTGTCAGACTATCTGTCTGTCTGTCTAATAGTGAATAATTTTGCCCATAATAAAAATCCCTCAAGCAATGATTTGTATGCTCCTCACTGTTTCCCCCAAGTACGCAGTCTTTGGGAACACTTAAAGGAATCATGAAGCTTGGTCTGCTTTCCTCCCTTAATTGCTTGTTTGTGCTGTCTGCATAATTATTCCCCAGAACATTTCAATAAGCAAGAGGGAAAAAAGCAGAATCCCAGTTTCACACCAATAACACAAAAGTGGTAAACGTGTAACATGATGTAATTACCTTTAAAACATTAAAGCAAAGAAATATTAAATTACTACTGCTGCTGAAATACTATAATATGTTGAATAAACTGTTGCTGAATTTAATAGAGGTTTTCTGACTAAGGCCCAGTGCATGCCAGGAGCATATGTGAACATTTAGGAGGAACTCTACTGACAGCAGAATCAAGAAAAATACCTGCTATTTTGTAAGTAAGGTATGTAATATAAAGCTAAAAAGTTTCTCCCCATGGCCCTGTAATGATAAGTGGATATAGGCAATGGATTGATGGCTGATTTGTTTCTTTAATAAACGTAAAAGGAAGAGTCTTGTGGTATATAATATAGGTGGCAAATGGGAAAAACTTTAGGAATACTGAAAAAAAGT